TTGATTCTTGCAGACAATTTTTAAAAGTTGCTGTTTTTCTTTAGTCCATAAATCAGTTTATTTTCAACACCATGGCAATGCCCTTGGATATTGCAGTTATTACCATAGTAACTATGGTAAGAACAAAGGATTTACTTCGGGATTAATAGAGAATGACTTACAATTCAGTGTTTAAATAAATGACCATAAAAGTCTAAGTGGTCCAGTAACTACGGTAGCAGCATAGAAAATCTCAAAATCAATTTATTCCCAATAGCAGGTTTGTTGTTATGGGGAAAATAGGAGGAGGAAGGTATATTAGGTATGTCGACTGCCTTGATATACTTATATATTTATAAAGTAAATAAAGGCAGAATAAAGATCTAATAAATCAATGGATCAATAAAATTTGCAATGTTAACATAAAGCTAATTATATTTTAAATATATTAATATTTATTTAAAATGCACATGTCTGCCTCACATGTTGTTGACTGATAACCTATCTGTTCCAAAATGTTTCTAAATGAAGGTGGTATACCAATTTAATTAATAAATAAGCAAATATTGCCTATTATCCCTTGTCTTAAGGCAGATGATCAGTCTGTACATCTCTTAAGACAGAGGTGGAAATCAGACTGCACATCTTTGAGTGACCACTAGACGGCAGAATAGAATTACTGTAGAAATTTATGTACATTTTTCTCTACAAACTCCTTCAGCCTCATAGTTTCTAATTTTGCACCTCTGTGTTATTTTTTTTTATAATTTCACATTTGCCTGTAAAAATACTAGAAAAAATGTACAGGTGGATTTTAAAATTGGGTTTTAGCATCATGAAGCTCCCTTGGGATCAATACATGTCTCTATCAGTTTTAACTATTATTCATATCTTGTTTGACCCAGAAGGATGCAGTTCTTATATATATAGAAAGAGTAAACTTTATCAGAGAAGAAAATTCATACATGCACTTTTATTTTGAATACTAGCTTGAGTTGAAGAACTCAAAACTAGAAGTTTTCCTAATATGTAAATTTCATATGTTAATGTCAGCACAAAGTCCAGGTAGACCCACAAGTAGAAAATTTAAACATATCTGACATTAGAAATCAAAGTATATTTGGTATGATGAAGGGGATTGTGTCATCTTACAAAAGCTTACATGGCAGTAAATCTGTTAGTCTTTGTCACGAGATGCTATTTTTGCATTATCCACACTGTTTTGAGGTACCATTAGAGTTATCAAACTTCAACAAAAAAAACTTCAAAGGAAGACACTGGCAGTTTAACTAAATCTATTTAGCCAAGGTGATTTCATTTCCATTTAAAATTGAGGTTAGTTTCAAATTGACAATAGCTATTCTTCTTGAGGTGTTAATTAAAGCAATTTTTCATGCTAATTAATTGGTATAACTGTTTCTGCTGTATGTAATGAAGTTGGAACGTATCCAGGAAGGGGGGTGCATTAGGATTCCAGGAGTCAGCACCTTGTCTACCTTTCTTCTCAGTTATAGATGAGAAACAGTGGTGACTTTTTTTTTGACATTGTGACATCTTGTGGATGTGATGGTTCCTCCACCTCTAATGTGCTTCATTAGGGCTGCACATCTCCCTAGTAAACAGTGGGATGCCTCAACTATTTGTCAGGGTTTTGAAAATGATTTTTGACTGCTCATCAAGGACAATCCAGGTCTAACTCACCGATAATGAGCTTGGCCTTATAAAAGGGGTCCACTGACAAGCCAGTGGCCCGTTCTTTCACAGAAAATGTGTCATTAGACATTTATAAAATGAGCAGCTGTTGTGTATTTTCAGACACCTGGCAAAAAAAAGTACGAAAAATAAATAGATTGGCTGCAATTCACTTTGTGACTAGATTAATGGTCAGTACTAATTATGTTTTTAAAGTACACCAAACAATTTCTTCCAGCTGTCTTAGAAGCAAGATAAGGAATCTTTTCAAATAGAAATGTGAAACAACAAAAATCTAATAAAAGATACTTTCTACCTTTTGTCTTCCTTTTTCCCATTTTTTCTTTTTCTTTTCTTTCTTTCTTTAATTTGCATCCTGCCTTTATTATTTTTAGAAATAACTCAAGAAGGCGAACACATACAACACATGTTCCTCCTCCTACTTTCCCTACAACAGCCCTGTGAGGTGAGTTGGGCTGAGAGAGTAACTGGCCCAAAGTCACCCAGCGAAGTTTCAAGGCTAAGGTGGGACTTGAACTCACAGTCTCCTGCTTTCTAGCCTGGTGCCTCAACCACTAGACCAGACTCGCTCTTTTTATAAAAACCTGTCTGTTTCTGTTAAGCAGGTATGAGGACTATTTATTAAACCTTGTAGGTTTTATGCTCCAGGTATTATTGTATTTATTTTCTTTTTCTGCTGTTTACAAAAAAAGCCAAAAACACCTTGAGTCTTGGGCAGCATATAAAGTGTTGCAATAAATAAATACATGAAAATCTCACTTTTCATCTTCAGGTTTGTGCTAAGACTGAGGCAGTGAAGCTTGGTGGTTTGTAAAGAGCCACAACAATTATCATTTTAGCTGGGACTGATGGGCACTAGACAGCAAGAATATCAGGAGAAATAGCTTTTTCATACAGCATAACAAGCAAAGCTATGGTTTGCTTACTACCGATTTAACACGTTATGCCAAGCCAGTCAAAATGGTTTATGAAATTGTATTTATTTATTTAAATATATATGGTCACCTATTTCAGTTTCTTGATTTTGAGTGGCTAACAATAATTAAAAGCTATACAAAAGAACAAACAAACAAAATAGCAAAAAAAAAATCTTTCCTTGATTCTGTCCTTTGGCATTCCATGGTGGTGCAGTGAACCACAGCGAGGAGTTTGATCCTGACCAGCTCAGGATTGACTCAGCCTTCCATCCTTCCAAGGTCATTAAAATGAGGACCCAGATTGTTGGGGGGAGTATGCTGACTCTGTAAACTGCTTAGAGAGTGTTGTAAAGCACTATGAAGCAGTATATAAGTCTAAGTGCTATTGCTAATACTTGGAACCTGGAATCTGGCTCTCCTAATAGATAAACAGACATAATTGGGAGATGTAGTTGCTCAAATAAACTGGTTCCACAGCATGAAGGGCTTTCTAGGTCATTATCAGCACCTTGAATTGAACTTGGAAGCATACTATAACCAATACAGCTTACCGAACAAAGGTAGACCAGGTGCTGATCAAGGAGTGTACATGACTGCCCACACTGTTGCATTCTGTACCAGCAGTTGCTTATAAATGTTCAACGGCAGCTCCACATGAAGTATAATACAATAATTTGGGAGGTGACAAAAGCATCAGTGACTATGAGTAGAGCCTGGTACACAACACAAAATTGTGCAAAGATCCTCCTGGCTTCGGCTACTATCTATTCTTTGAACAGGATCCAGGAGGAAATCCAAATTGCATACAGGTAGTCCTTGTCTTATAACCATTCATTTAGTGATAGTCTGAAGTTGCAATGGCACTAAAAAGTGACAGGACTGTTTTTTAAACTTACAACTGTTGTAGCATCCCCATAGTCACATGATCAAAATGTTTTGAGAGATGCTTGGCAACTGTCATGTATATATGATGGTTGTAACTGTTATGTATTTATGATGGATGCAGATGGTCACTTTTTGCGACCTTCTGACAAAAAAGTTAACTGGGAATTCAGGTTCACTTAACAACCATGTTACTAACTTCACAGCTGCAGCGATTCACTTGACTGGATCTTCACTCTTGCTACAACTATGGCAAGAAAATGGAGCAAAACTCACTTAACAACTGCCTTGCTTAGCAACAGAAATTTTGGGCTCAGTTGTGGACATAAGTCAAGGACTACATGTACAAGTTTTTTTGAGGATAGTGCAATGCCATCCAAAAGAGATGAAACGATCCCAGAACCAGGGGCCCTAATACCCAAAACCACTTGTATATTGTTTAACTATAGTTTATTCAGTACACTATGGCCAAATAAATGACAGTGTTGCATATTATGTGATTACACTGTCTGGATTCAAACATGTTTTTATCAAACAATTTACAGTTGTCTATATAGTACTACACACTTATCCTAAGTCACTGTTTAGAAACTTTTTATAAGCTACAATGCCTCTGTTCATCCAGTACACAAAACTAAGGCTACTTCATAAAAATTTGGACTACAGCTAGAAGGCAGCAAAGAGATAATGAAAACTTTGATAGCTGTACTTGGCCAAAATCTGTCTGAAATGGTATAGGGTTTCCTGCCTGACCAGGGGGCTGGACTAGATGATCTCCAAGCTCCCTTCCAATTTTATTATTATTATATAAAATCAAACAGAAAAATTATGTGTTGGTGCAAGATATGAATCAAGTATATTTGTTAAAAAGTATATTTGTGGAGAGCGACAAATCTGAAGAACTTTCACTTATCTCAAACATATACAAAGAAAATCTAACTGAAAATGATTGCATTTCTAGTCAATGTGCATTTCCGCATCAAGCTCTTTAAAATCAATATTCAAATAATTCTGACAACTGCAGCGACACCTGAAAAATGCATAGAGATATGAGAAACAGTGGGTGAAATTGAGGACAACCCAATATTGAGGGTGAGGAAAACCAACTTTGTCTATGTATAATTAAACCCCGTCTTCTTCTACATTAAGAAAGGCAACCAGGAACTCTCATACGAAACCCAGAAGCGACGTACTCTGCACTACTCTAATCCAGTGTTTCTCAACCTTGACAATTTTAAAGCATGTGGACTTCAACTCCCAGAATTCCACAGCCAGCAATGCTGGCTGTGGAATTCTGGGAGTTGAAGTCCACATGCCTTAAAATTGTCAAGGTTGAGAAACACTGCGAATCAATTGGTCCTGAAAAGAGACCGAGGAACCTTCCCAAAGTTCTTCCCTTTTGCCATTGGCTGAAGTTCGCTATTGGTAAACTAAACGTTGCAGGGCAGCCAATCCCGGCAGAAAGGGCGGGGCAAAGGAAGACTCCTGTTTTCCCGCAGCAGAGACGGAGTATGGACGTGAGCCGCGGGCTGGAGCCTCTGCCGGTATCCGTGCGGCCCCGGCTGGAGGAACTCCCGGCGTTCCAGGTGAGAGAGGAGGAAGAAGAGGAGCTGAGCAAACCCAGCAGCCGCCTGCGGGCAGGGACTGATAGAAAGCTATGCTTTGTGCGCACCCGCCGACGGGAATGTAGGGCTTTTTAAAACTGCGTCGGTTTCATCGAAAGGGACGCTGGGAATTAGAGTTTTCCGTGGGGGTGGTTCCTATCTGCGGCGGAAACCTTAAGCTTCTGAGAACTACAATGCCTAGAATTCAGTGGTCGTGAGGCGGGGCCATAGAATGGAACGGAAGCGCTCTGCTCACAGCGGGATTGTGTGAACGGCGCTTTTAAGAACCTGCAACAGAAAGGAGACCGTGTTTCAAAAAAATTCTAGGACATGGTTTCACTTTGGATGATGCCTCTCCCACCCTCCCCGTTTACGTTTCCGAGCTTCGGTTATCCACGTTTTTCCCTTGCTCCAATTACCACTCCCATGCAGAAAACTTAAGATATATGAGTATATATTTCAAATAATGATCCGTATGATGGAACAGGAAGAAACAGGATTGGTTTTCACACTTCTGGATGCTATCAGAGAAATGCATAGGTTTTGGGAAACCGGCATTTTGCAAAAAAACCCATCTTTTAAAAACTATCAGTTGATAAGGTGGTTCTGAAACTTCTTTGTAAGCAGCTTGATCCTGATAGATGGATCAAACCCCATTAATATCAGTAGATTTCTGATGTCCATTGGTCAAGTGTAGATTGGGTTACATATATATATATAGAGCCTAGATTATTTTTTTCTTGGATTAAAATATTTTAAAGTGTTTGAAAACACTTTTAAAGAAAGTCTACACACTCAAAATAATTAACTCAGCTTTAATCCTTACAAGTGCAGTTCATTCTTCAGTTTTGACAATGAGGAATAGCTTTTCCTGCACTGCTTTGCAAATAGTTTATTAATTAGATCTATGATTTGCTTTTTGTAGAGAGTTAAAGGCCACGTGCGTAGTGCAATCTCCTATTTTTCTCCAACAACAACCCTGTGAGGTGTTAGGGTTGAGAGTGAGTGACTGGTCCAACCAGCTTTCCTGCCTATGTCATGCCTAAAGTGAACTGGAACTCATCTGTCTTCTGATTTCCAGCCTAGTGCATTAACTACAGACCAAATTGGTTTTCTTAATGGTTGTATGAGAGACATAAATTCAGAATACGGTTTTCATTATATCTCTAGTTTAATGTATACTTTTGATGCAGATGATAAACTTTATACCACCCTTTGTGAAAAAAGTCAGTTTTGCTTTCCTTCAAGTTAGCCTAAGTTGAGGAATCAGTAATGTCCATTAGAGGTCCCTCTTGTTCTGGCAAAAGTATACTATTACTTCAAGAAATGTGTTTTTTTTTTAAAGGTCATTGCAAGTTTCTATTTATTGAAATAAATACTGTACAAAGTATTTTAACATAAGATTTTTAATGTGACTAAATGTTCTTAATATAAAAGATATAAAAAAAACTTGAGTTTGCAGTTGTGTGGCTGACCATGACTGGGCTAATAGAGGCATAGTCTGTACTTGGATGAGAGAAATATTACAACTGAGTATTGAGTATCATCAGCATATTGATGATATCTGACCATATCTCATCAGATGATCTCAGCAGCATCTTCATGTCAGGGTTAAAAAGGAAGGGGAAAGTATTGAATCCTGAGGAACCCTACAGTGCAGTGCCCTAGAATTATATATTGTCTCCACTTGACCTCTAGCACTGGATAGAACTAGTCCCAGGAAAGGGAGCAATATTTCCAATTTTCAGTACCTACAGCTGGTTAAAAAAGAGATTATTCCAGTTAGTTCTGAAAAATGCGAAGAAGTCAAGGGTACCACTCTCATTCTGGATCCACCAGAAGTAATCCACAAGTGTCATCACTGCTATCTCAGTTCTACAAGGGCAATTTGGAAATAAATCTCCATTTGAGTATGTGCAAGAAATAGGCGGGGATAGCGACGCCTGTCCTATGGTGCCGTGTACAGTAGTTCAATAGGCAGTGAGGAGTGGAAGGAGAAGGTTGTGTTGTAGTTAACCTGTCCGCTAGATCAATTGAAAATGAACCCTGCCATAGAAAATCCCTCCAAATGTGAAGTGAGTGCAATAAGACGATTCCTGTGTGTGAAAAAACTTGGCAGTTGTGATTCATTGCGAATTGTGTAATGTTTACAGACCAAACATGATGAGTGAAGGTGTTGTATGTCAATGGTGTCACATGTCTGACGTCCACAATGAGGCAAGAAGTGGCCGCCCATCTGTAGTCAGCGATGAACTCATGCAGGAAATTGACAAAAAGGTCTGTGAAGTCCGTCACTTCACGATATCTGCACTTTCTTTACACTTTCCCCAAATTTCTCAGACCGTTTTGTACAAGGTAGTGACAGAAAATTTGGGATACCACAAGTTCTGTGCTCGTTGGGTACCAAAACTCCTTTCTGAGGAACACAAAACACATCGAATGTGTTCACGATGCCGTTACAGGGTGGCTTCATTCCCAGGCAGATTTTTTTTTCAGAAGAAATTTCAAACTTTGTAAGACGTTATGACAGGTACCTCAATTTGAATGGCAATTATGTTGAAAAGTAATGTAATGTAGTTTTCTAATGTGTATAATAAAAGTTCTGTATCTGCGAGTGTCTGTCATTGATAACCAAACGGAGGTTTATTTGCAGATTGCCCTCGTATACTGACACCTGAGATCTGAATGAAAAAGATCCAGATAGTCTATTTCCTCTGACCATCTTCACAACCTTTTTCAGAAAGGAAAAGTTGGAAGTTAGCTGGAATAATAGCTTGTTGTAAAGGAATGTGCTGATAACTTTGAAGGATATACGCAGGAACAGTTAAGGCAAATAAGAGACTCTGTCCTGGAAAAAAAATGGGATGTGACTCTTAGAATAGCCTCACTCTTAGGACTTGGTGATGTAAGAGGAGACAGAATTTGGCAGATTTCCAAGTTTCTATGATTATATCAACAATAAAGTAGCTTTCCTGTACTCCTTGTGCTGTTGTTGACTTGGCCTACATCAACTGAGGTAGGCCAGCTGATACTTATTGAGAGGATACCCACTGCCAGTTTCAATGCAGGTGGGACCACCTCTTCGCTCAAAGGTGAATTCACCACTGCTTAGACCCAACTACCTATTTCTCTGGTGGCTTTGACCAGTTTGGAGAGATGTGGATCATACAAGAGGCTTATCTAACAGCATCAAAAATCCTACCCACTTTTTCAATACTTACAGGATCAAGTTCTTCTAGAAAACAGAAGATCTGCCCAGATAGCATCCAATTGAGAACGGATACAGTAGGAGCACTTTTGTCCATTGATTGCTTAGAATGATTTTCACAATATTCGACTTGAAGTTCAACTTCAAGTGTTCTTCTGACCTTTCCCTCCTAAACATGACTGCTGGTTAACATGGATGCAAAGAGAGCCAATTTAGGCTTCTCTTATTGTCACAACATAGTCCTTAGTGCAGGCTTTTACATGTGTTGGGTTGGCCTCTTACGTTTCTGTAACAGGTACTTTAGGTGTGTCTTCTGATATTTCATCTACCAGAACTCCTTTGTGCATCAAGAAATCCCCTAGGATAGACGTATAAGGGAGAGGATATTAGGTGCAACTAATTAAAGTCTCATTCCAGGTGGAGACTACAGCTTCAGCTTCAGTTGATCAGAGTGTATGGGAATTTACCAAGCTGCTTTTGAAACCCAGCTGGATTCATCAGGTGTCAAATGAATAGATCCTTACATATCATAAAATGCTTTATCTCTTTCTGTGACAGCAGCATTTTTGGAAACTAAGATTCACTATATCACAAACGTAACTTCTTCCTTTCACATTTCTGGATACTATCAGAGAAATGCATAGGTTTTGGGAAACCGGCAGTTGATAAGGTGGTTCTGAAACTTCTTTGTAAGCAGCTTGATCCTGATAGATGGATCAAACCCCATTAATATCAGTAGATTTCAGATGTCCATTGGTCAAGTGTAGATTAGGTTACATGTATCTACAGAGCCTAGATTATTTTTTTCTTGGATTAAAATATTTTTAAAGTGTTTGAAAACACTTTTGAAGAAAGTCTATACTCCATATAATTACCTCAGCTTTAATCCTTCAGTTTTGACAATGAGGAATAGATTTTCCTGCACTGCTTTGCAAATAGTTTATTAATTAGATCTATGATTTGCTTTTTGTAGAGAGTTAAAGGCCACGTGCATAGTGCAATCTCCTAATCTCGTAACTTCATCCTTTAATATCCTTGGTTATTATTTTCAATCCATCACCTAGTCTAAATGCACAGGACTGCTTTAATGTTCACTTCAGTTACAGTAGATCAGGGGTGTCAAACTGCCGGCCCACGGGCGGGTTGCATCATGCGGAGGCCGTGCCCACCCCAGCTCTGGCAATGCAAAAAAAGTCATGACACGTCGCAACATGTCACGTGACACGGCGAGTTTGACACCTGTGCAGCAGTAGATCATTTAGAATCCTTCCTTGAAGAAATGTTCAGTTAGTGGAAGCCTGATAAAACAGTGCATTCTCAGATCACTGTTTTCATGCACATTAAATCAGACATAATTTTGTCTTATATCTCCCCATTTGTGTTTTCGTTTCAATATGTGGAATAACAACTTTTTCCAAGACTTCCTTTCTGTAATTAAAGGATACATTTGTTATCTAAAATGTTCCAAATCATGGCTTGTCCCATCAGATAAAATTAGAAACAAGAGATTTGGTAGGCTGGCAAGATAATGTTATTCTTGCTTCAGCTAATAAGCTGCTTTAGAGGAATTAAATTATGAGTGCATCCTCAATTGAGCCCCGTGGGTAAGCATCTGCATAGTAAGAAATAAATTCTGGAGAAATCATGCTGGAAGCAAGGGAGGAAAATGGTAAAATGACAATTATTTAGTTTGCCTTATATAACTGCTATCTAAATTGTCAAGTAGCAAGCTGATATTGGTTCAAAAAGATGAACATTTTCTTCTATGGTTACTGAACATAATTTGTTCTTTTTAAAAAATAAAATAATGTTTCTTTACAACCCCCTCTTATTCCTCATGTTTTTCTGTCTTTTTCATACATGTTCATTCATAAAATAAAACTATTGCAATTCATTTGTTAACTAGAAATTGAATGCATGAATCATAGCCTTTTAAAAAGAGTATATGCTGACCCCTTTTGTGGCCTCACTTGAATTATTTCCCAGAGTCTGAATGAAAATACTGGTGCAATTGAATCATGAATATCACCAAAATTTATTTTCATCGTAGACACGCACTCAGTTTCTCCATATAAGTTGCCCTAATAAAGTAGATAGCATTGTATATAAGCACAACAGATATGTTGATAGACTATCTAGCAATAGATGGTCTCTTAAGATCTTTCATCTCTAATTAAATCTTTTTATCATGTATATATTTTCATCCTTTTCGAACAATGCATGTAAATTGCCAAAATACATTACAGTACATGGCATTTTATATGAGTAAAACATGCTCATAGGTCTATAGGGATAGATGGTCCCTTAAGACATTTCTATTTTATCCACTTTTTAAATCAAATGTATATAATCACTAATTCTAAACAGTGGCATGTGCTGATAGGTATTTCAGCAAAGGAAGGGACAATCTTTGTAGGCATTAATGAAAACAAGCACTAGGGGTGACATAATAGCAGTGTTCCAATATTAAAGGGATTGCCATAAAGAAGAAGGTGTCAACCTATTTTCCAAAGTACTAGAAGGCAAGACAATAAACAATGGATGGAAACTAATTAAGGAGAATAGCAACCTAGAATGAAGAAATTTTTTAATGAGTGAAAACAATCAATTAGTGGAACGGCTTGCTTTCAGAAGTTGTGGGTGCTTCATCACCAGAAGCTTTTAAGAAGAAATTGGACAGCCACTTGTCTGAAATGGTATAGGGCAGTGATGGCGAACCTTTTAGAGACCGAGTGCCCAAACTGCAACCCAAAACCCATTTATGTATTGTTGGGTGCCGGGTGGGTGTGGCCCATTGGGTGGTGTGACCCATTGGGTGCGTGTGGTTTCAGTGGTAACAGCAGAGTGGGTGGGACTAAAAAGTTCAATCGATCAATTCCAACTTTGCAAGATCTTTTTTTTTCCTGCGAGAAGTTGAAATTGATTGATTGAACCTTTTTTTTTTTTTTTTGCACACGGTGGCGGAAGCTTAAAGCGAAAAGGGTTTATAAAACCCAGCTGAAGGCCTAGGACTGGGGCGACGGCATGCGTGCCCACAGAGAAGGCTCTGCGTGCCACCTGTGCACGCGTGCCATAGGTTTGCCACCACGGGTATAGGGTCTCCTGCTTGAGCAGGGGGTTGAGCTATAAGACCTCCAAGGTCCCTTCCAACTCTATTATTCTCATTTCTCTATTCTTTTGCCTTTTTACACAATATATTATGCCAACCTCTTCAGCTATGAGTATATAGCCCTCAAGATTATTTCCTCTGTTTTTTTGTTTTTGTTTTTCAGTATAGTCCTGATCACGTGCCTGGACCTGGAGGCAAACCAGACCCATCTGAGATCTCCTTCTCTGGATGCAGCTGTCATTCTGCTTCCTGTCTGGCCCCAACATGTTCATGTCTTCACTATGGAGAAAATTATAAAAAAATGTCCATTGAGACGGAAGGATGTGAACTGGGATTTTCAAAGCCTGTTTTTGAATGCAACACTATGTGCCAGTGTGGAGAGATGTGTCAAAATAGAGTCGTTCAACGGGGCTTACAGTTCCAACTTGAAGTATTCAAGACCACTGAAAAAGGGTGGGGTCTTCGTACCCTGGAATTCATACCCAAAGGACAATTTGTGTGTGAATATGCTGGGGAAATTCTAGACATTCAGGAAGCACGTAAAAGGATTCAGTTGCAGACATCATGTGATTCAAATTACATTATAGCAGTTAGGGAACACTTGTATGATGGGACGACCATAGAGACTTTTGTAGACCCCACATATATTGGCAATGTTGGTAGATTCCTGAACCACTCCTGTGAGCCCAATCTCTTTATGGTGCCTATCCGAATAGACTCAATGGTGCCTAAGTTAGCACTTTTTGCTGACCGTGATATCTGTGCAGATGAAGAGCTCACATACGATTATTCTGGAAAATACCATAATTTTCTGCCCATAGAAGAGCAAAGCAGCAAGCAAGAAGGGAAAGAATCAAAGAAACCTTGCTTTTGTAGAACTAAATCATGTGCAGGTTCCTTGCCTTACGACAGTTCTTTATTCCAGAAAGATGCTAAGAGAAAGTAATCCTGAAGAAAAAGTCTGCAAATTGAAGAGAGCAGCCGTGTGCTTCTTTTAAAGCTTCTTGTAGGAATGTCCAGAGGTGATAAAATTAGCCTTACATACACACATGCCTACGCTCAAAATGCAGCGATGCTTATTAAAGTGGCTGAATGTATTTAATTATGCACAGATGAAGTGTCTTTCCATTCAGAACATCAGTTGTAACACGAAATATGTCAGGGTCAGAGAAGTTGTAAATACTGTATCAAACAGATTGAAATCTTGCCCTGAAGAAGGTCCAAGAAATGATAATGGAATATCAAAAGATATTACAATGGGAGAAGGGTGAGCTGCCTTTTTCCTTTCAAGCCATATTCACTGCCTTGTGGTGAGTCGTGATCATTAAATCGACCTTTATCAATTCTTCCATGTTGCTGTCCTGGGATACTGCTAAGGAGGATCCATCCTCATGTGTTCTTTTTCTCAGTAGGATAATGTTCCCAGTCTTCACCAAATAATTTCAGGACGAGGCAATATCGTACTAGGGAGAGAGGCTACATTTGTGCCTTTTTGTCCCTCAATAAAATTCCACAATACAGAGAGGGAAGGATTTTTATGTGGGGAGAGGGAAGGAGAGCCAATATGCATTTTCTAGTTGCCCATTTCTTTTCTTGATATTTACGGTTATGCACAAGCATTGTTAATTAATAAAAGTTATTGGCTGCATGTGGTTCCTTTTTATGTGTTGCCATTAAAAATTAACAAAGGAAAAGGGTCAGATTAGTCAATGAATGTACAGTAAGTTTGCTAGATTGTTCACTGGAAAAAAATACTATATGGACCAACATATATCAATGGCCACCTGGTATGGTCTTATACTCTGTGTTTAAAAATATTTTCCCTCTAATGTTTCTCTAGATCAAAAATTCATTTACTACCCTGTAAATCTTTAAAAAGAGAAGAAGGTAGGATTCTTCCATGCTCTGTCTTTTGTCATTTCATGCTTTCATTAGTTGTGATGTTTGACAGCTCTATATTGACCTACTCATCTTCAGTGCCTTATAAACTGAAAGAAAATAGTATTGCTAAGCATAAAAATTTAAACATGTATTTACTTTTATAAGTTAAATGTTCTAATATGTGCAAACATTATTTTTATGACCATTCAAGCTTATCTTCAATATCAAGAGGTTCTTCTATTTTTTTGTTTTGGTTTTGGTTTTGGTTTGTGTGTGTGTGTGTGTGTGTGTGTATTTTGTATCAGGAATTGAAAACAGCATAAGTCAAAGTTTGCTCCATCCCAAAATATTTTATAATAGCATTTATTCTCAATTTTGTATTCTTTTCTCTTACACAGTATTCTGGCAGTATTCGTTTTTAAGTTGATGTTAAGATATTGTCGTAAGGCCTGCTCTCTTATTCTCTGGCTGACAAAGTGCACAAATACATTGGTACATTTAACTTTCCATTTCTTGTATTGACTTTGTACACCTGACTCACTTCTGCATCCATGTTTTCATCATCCCATTCTATTTTTTTTAAGCCTTCAGCAACTCTCTTCTTACTATCTTGGCCAAATTGTTCTATAGCTACCGTACTTTTAATCTCAAGCAAAATTCTTTTTTAAATTCAGTAATGCTACATTGTCTATATCTTCTTCATCTATTAATGTTTCTGTCTCATTTATATTGCAGATTCTTCATATTTTTAATTCATCTAGTCCCCCTATAAATGTAATCAAATCTCTCTAAAAAGATACATTTCTTTTTTCTCTTTAGTTTATAATCCGTTCTCTGAGATATGAGGAATGTAATTATATAATGATATCTATATTATGGTTGTCATTGGGAATTAGGTGGCATACAAGTTTAATGTGTTGTTTGAACAAATGGCACAATTAATAACTTGAAATCAAGTTTATATCCATAATTAGATTAGTGAGTTCATAAATTTAAATTATCTCTTTCAAATTCCAAATATGAATCAATAGCCATTCTCCATCAAACCTCAGAAGTCAATCCATCTTTTTTCTGGTATGGAATAGCAGATATTTGAAAGACAATATCAGATTCTGAAAAGCTTGATGTCATATTTATGCAACAATTAAGAGGAAAAGAACCAAGTATTTATCCTTCAATTTGTGGCTATGAAAATAGTATTGACTCTGTTTCTATTCAATGTATCATGGTAACTTTCTAGTCTAACATAAAATAAATAACGCTTAAAATTTAAAGGGCATTTGATACTGTAAAGCAGAAAATATTAACCACATAGGATGTAGATTTTAAAAATGCAGTGCAAATTCAGATATTGTCACCACATGTAATAAGACATAAACATAAAGTTTCATTTAGAAGAATATGACTCTTAATTATAAAGGAACATGAACAGAAGCTCATATTCTACTTCTGAACTTTCCATAATCTTCCATTATGGATTATATATTTTGCCATTCTCTAGTATATTCTTTATTAAAGAATATCAACTGAAACTGAGCCAAAACAACTAAGTGTCTGTATGCTTGAGGAATCCTAAAACAGATGGTAAAATATGAAATATTTGAGAAAATTGCCTCAGAGCTGGATGTGTTCAATTATCGCTAAATTACCTACTTAGAAACTTGGCAAAGAAGAATGTTAAGATAGGAGGATTTGTTGCAAGTCCTACATATATAATTTGTGACATCTATGCAACAGATAGGCAGATAGTATTGATAGGATAAATCTTTGAAGTGCTTTTCTCACTCTGAGAAACCTGATTGCCATCTGTATTTTATTTTCTATTTCAGCCATGTTTCACATTTTTTGCTGGAAAAAATATGTTTTCCCAGCAACAGAATTTTAAAATGTCATTTATATCTCCTGCAAAATATGTATAAAGCCACACATTCCAAGTTGAAAAGGAAAGGGCCATAGAAAGAATTTTAGAGTTTGTACAAATAAAATCATTGATAGATGCGAAAACAAGGATATCTATGATGTCAGGTTAGCTGGATGTAGCTCTTATT